ACTAAAGACAGATAACATCACAAACTCACACAATTTGTCTTGACAACATTGTATTAGACATTGTATTAGCACTGCAAGTATTTTGTGTTGCTCAAAGTGCAAATATTAAAATTTCAATTAAAAATATATGCAAGGATGTATACTTTACCAGAAAATCATTTGTCTTTTCCCAAAGATTCTTTATAGCCTCTTTTCTTGTGGCAATACGAGGAATTTCACTTAATGAGTATGATGATATAACTATGTCATAAGTTACCTAAGAAACCAGTCAAACAGTATATCAAACCAGTCAAACAAGAATTAAACAGGTTTGGATTTGGTTTTCAGGACTTTACTAAACCAGTCAAACAAGATTTGAACAGGTATGGATTAGGTTTCCAGGACTTTACTAAAACCAGTCAAACAAGATTTGAATAGGTTTGAATTCGGTTTCCAGGACTAAGCCAGACAAAAAACATTTGCATACATGTATGATTGGATTGTTTATATTAAAAAGAACCCACCTTATTTGATATAGGAAGAAACCGTTTAAAATAGACATAAGGTATGTGTAAAGGTCTCTTGAAACTTTCACTACCTAAAAAAATACGYCAGTCAGCCAGCCAGTCACTTAACRATCTCAAACAATCAAGCTATTAAATTCAATACATTAATTCCTTAATCACTTTAAATATGAAAAAGTATTTGTACCTCTAAGAAGATACTCTGCAATATCATTCATGTGTTCTGATACATCAATGCACTGATATTCTTTAATGGAGTCGCTCCATTGACTGTGTGCTGCCCTGGAAACAGAGTTTAAAAGAACGTTTTCAAGAATATAAAATATATACATGTATTGCATAATATTACTACTGGCATTAAGAAGAAACACACTAGACATGCAAAAATATTCATCTTTGCTACCATTAAGCAAGAAATGATAAAAAATTTTAAATATCTAAAAGTAGACAAAGTGATTAACCACACTACCAGATAGCAGTCCCTGTTCCTGATCCAAAGTCCAGGAGCGTTTCTGGCTTATAATCAGGTTCTCGTCTTGAAATCTGAAACAATTATTATAAATCAAATTTCATTAGATGTTGATTATACAATCAAATTTTTTAACTGCCACTTCTGATATTAACCAGACATTTGCAAGATGCCATAACTTTACTACAACCAGAAATCTTTGCGTATTTTCTTTGTAATTCAGATTTTTTAAATCCCTTTGGAGATTAGTGAAACAATTATGGGACTAGTTGCATTACAAAAGAAAGTGGGCAAAGCATTCTGGTAGTTGTAGTATATGACATCATCATGAAAATTGCCTAGTATTATTATTAAATCACCTCATGAAGGACTCTTAGAGTTGCACCATAGGACGCTGGGATACGACTGGCAGCAAAGGCYGCACTTTCCCTTTTGTTGTATCTAAAGAAAAACKYGCAATTAGCAAAATTATAAACCRAACTAAAAGATGCTAAAAATGGGACACTGAGAACAGGACAACATAAGTATACAGTACTTGCCTCACAACTTTATACTCCTCAATCTTTGGTCTATTTGTTTTGATTTGATCTACAGAATCACAACTCTCTTGTTTGTTTTCATTCTCATCTTGGTCCAAATAATAATCAACAATCACTTCTTGGCTTTCTTGCTCTTTCAGCTTCATGACATCATCTATGTTCACATTAAGATCTAAATCAAAGAAATGAATAGATTAAGACACAGTTTTCAGGAAACTAACTCTTGTTTTATCAAACCAAAGTAAAATAAACAGCTCTAATACCTTAAGACTCCCTACCTTATGTAAACAGGGCCTACATGTAAGTATTCTATAAAGCAATACAATTTTTATGAAATTATAAATCAAACCTTGATTTTTTCTGGATGCTCTGCCTTGCTTGTATTTTTTCCATGTAGTCTCTGTAGGTCTTCCTCTGTTTCTCAAGTGTTTGGCTAGTTTACTTCCATCATTTTCGAGCAACTTTCTTGGATATCCTAATCACAACAAATGCATGGTAATGGTAATAAATATATAAGTCTCTCATTGCAATGGACACCTTAGTCTCTTTTGCAGCTGTTACGAGATTCCTTTTCAGATCTTTATCTCCTGTTACCTCAAAATGGCTGTGTGAGGAGACTGTGGACAACTTGGAGACCATCAGACTCGTACCCAGTTGTTACTCTTCACGTCTTTGGCGCCCACAAAGGATCAAGACTTCCCTTGATGCACAGGGACCCATTAAACGAGTTAGAGAAACGACTGGGTAAGAGTCTGGGAAACCATTCAAATGCCCATTTAGAGGATTTGTTTTTTGCATAGTTAGTAGCTATGGTTTCAGTAATTTCTTTGTAGTAGAGATTTATTTAATATTTAGCATAATGTAGGAGTGTCCACAAGGCAAGGGTTTGACAGCATCAGCAATGATGTTGCACAGGATGTTAACAACTAACTAACAACCCCTTATCCCAAGTCTTTGTTGATACAACAGCATGATGGCTTTGATTTTCAYGGATTAARATRCARTCAAYGGTTTTTTGAAGAACAAATACTCTTACTTTCAAGATATTTCTTCAAGTTAACATCCAGTTGCTCTGGTAAGTGGATAGTCTTCAATGAAAACAACCCTGGTGCATTTTTGTCTCTCTTTGCCAGGGGATCGGCGCCATAAGCAAACTTATCAACTTTTGCTGGTACCACTTCGCTATTTGATGAATTCACACATTTGCCACTGTGCAGGTAGCAACTGCTACTCAAGATCTGTATAAAACCATTTGTATATTAAAGCTTTTAAAGTATTTTAAAGTATTAAGAGCATCATTTATTGAAGCAAGAATTTTTAGTGCGTACAACAATTCAAGCCTAAAATGCTTTGATTTCAATTCCTTCATAACATTTCGATTAAATTTGTAAGCTTAAGTCATTGAATCGACATCAAACATACGATCAGAACAGAAATGCAGCCCACCTTAGTAGCATTTTTTGAAGCAAACTCAATGGAAAGTGATCTTTTGACTGCAAATAACCAATGCTTGTTCAGTAATCCGCTCATAATCCAATCAAACTTGCAGCGCTGTTTGCTTTTCAAATTTCACGTGTTGTTGTCCGCCATATTGGGATTCGAGTAAAGCCTGGGAGCCAATCACCACAGGAAGCCCAAAGAACCACCAAGGTTTTCTTGGTTATTTCTCTGCTTTTATATTCCCTGTAGTCTTGGATATATGCATTGGTTGTGGAAAAAACCTATTGCTCTACTCCAGAAGAACATAAACTCAAGCTAACCTAAGGTATTAAACTATGGCAAAGTATTTTGATGGTCACCTACTAGTATTTCTGATGTAAACAGAGCACTTAATTGGTTTTGATGATCCCTTGTTTAATGAAGTTCAATAAGTGATTCACTCCTTGGCAGGTGAATAGTTTTGATGGTTTGTAGGACATAACAGAGCCCAAACCATCAAAGCATCGCTTTTGTGCAAGAGCTCTTGGCACCATCTTGATAGGTGTTCATGTTGATCATTGTATTTAAGCAATTTACTAGACATCTTGGTCACCCATTGCCGCAAGCTCAGCCACTTGATAGTTTCACTTTAAATCCACCATGCTGGATGTCAAAATACCCACTGGGATGATCAAAACAAAGAAAATTAAAACTTGACAGGCTTCATTCCTTATGTTTTTGAGGTTGTTTACATTCTTTTGCCATCCAGAGCAGTGGATTTAGAACCATGTGACCGTCTAATGTAGAAGGCCAATTCTAAACTGCAACTTTTGAAAGATGGCATCTGCATTCAAATCAAGTAATAAATCAAGTCTTGTTTCATCACACTATGCTGTGTTTATTTAGTTATGAAAATCTTACATTGATGGAATCGTTTTTTAACAATAGTATTATACAAAATAAGCAGAAAAGTATGATAAAACTGTAGAAAGTGACTAGATTGCCTCTACTTTTACATGGCTTTAGTAACCAATAATATTGATAAAAGACCTCAAATGGCTCACATTGAAGAAAAGCTCAAATTGTGTACAACATTTTAAATTTAATTGTGGTGCATGTAATACTGTTGTGCAGTCAATTATTGACACAGAACAATGTTCCATGCACCAGTAGAGTCTCACGCATACACCAGTACTAGATCTTAAGCAAATTTTGGACTGTTGTAGACTGGTCAATTATAGCTGCATTTTAATAATTTTTAATTATTATTAAAACAAAATTTCAGTTTGGTTAAATCTTCTATTTGTTCTCAAGTCCCTTTTGAGTTCTGTTTGAAAAATATTACGATGGTAAAAACATTGAGTGGCTGTAAGAATAAACACCAAAATGAAACGCTAAATGCGTAGAACTTTCCTATCTTTTGCCGCGTGCCAGGAAGGAGATTCTGGTATTGTCAACTGCTTATCACTAGATGTGATTGCTACAGGTTTGTAAGTCCTGATTGGGTTAGCTTTGTGAACAAGCTGTTTCCGTAACATTGCAATGTTCTGTCTTTCCTCCTCCTCTTTTTCAGCCTGTCTCTGTAGTATCAGCTCCTCATCTTGAATTTCTCGTTCTCGTTTGTGCATTTCATAGGCAGCACGTTCCTCAGCTCGCTTCTCTGAGTTTAAGTTAAATTCGTCGAAAATTGTGTTTTGTTTCAAAGATTTCTTTGGCACAAATGGTGCTTGATATAAAACATTACTTGAATGGGCTTTGAACACGGCTTTTTTTCTTTGTTCTTTAAGCTCATCCTCAACCTAATGTGACAGGGTTAGACAAAGCAATGGTTAAATATTTCTCAATATTCATAGATCCTTCTTTTATCAATATTGTTATACCTTTTTTGCCCATAATTCAGCTTTCTTTGCTCCTCGTGTGTCAGCTGATAAGTTGAATGGCTCRACTTTAGTCGTTGGTTTTGAAATGGATGGCATTTCTACTGGCGAAAAGCTCTGTAAAGGCTGTGCGTGAAATTCTCTTGCCTTCAGAAGCACAAACATATGGACAGTTATTAATTATAGTAAGATTAAGAAGTGAAGAAAGAAATACAATAATACAATATTGTAATTTTCAATAATAAAGTTTAAAAAAATATTGGGGCAATAGGTTTACACACAATGTGCAGAATAAAAGCCAGACATTGA